CATAACATATGTCTCTCACAACTCACAATCTCTTGCTATCTTTTTCTATTTATTCTTTCAGTTCAGTGTAGACCAATCCCATACTAAATAGTTGATAAGTAATATTTCTATAATTTTATCTTGTTAAATACTATATATTTGAAAATTATTATCAGCATCAATGATGAAATCATATTAAGTAATTAAATTTAACATAAAATAAAAGATAAAACTGATCTGGAAAACTAATATTTCACTTTTACTTTACATTAATTGTTTTTAAAAATATAGATAATTAAATTTATAATAAAACAACTACACTTTAATCATTTTATTTGTTGAAAAAATATGAAATTATCATTTTTTTCATTTTCGTAGAACTGATAGCTTAAAAATTACATCTTTACCAAACACATAAATAAACTAGTATAGCTTATAAATTCGTGCTATCCAAACATTTCAACTGTTTATAACACTATGTCAGCATATAAGCTGTTAAAGATCTTACAAGCTTTACAGCTTATAAGATCCTACAAAATAAAGGGAACCAAACACCCTCATAATTCTTCAGAACCTAAAAAAATTCACAGTATATACAAATAGCACCTTTTTATTTAAGTTTATGCAATATAGCTAGACAAAGAAATGATTGATGAACACAGCAATTCCACTCACTTAAAGAAAATACTAAGATACATGTTACAGGGGCTGGGAGTCATAAAATAGAACTCAATTTACCACTAGCTAGTAAGAAAGGAGAACTACAGACATGTTATTTATGTAAGAAAAATATAGGACCTGGCATTTCCAAAATCTTCAACAGGTTTCATTCTGCTGTTATTTCTTAGTAAGTTCCTGTATTAGGAGAGGTCTATAATTGGCCCCAGGCTAAATCTCCCTCAACTTCGGTACAGAAATATCCTCTCTCCTTTCTCCCAAAGAAACGGAATGTCTTCTCTCCAATGATGTTCAGTATTTCATTTTTTTGTGATTGAAAAGATTAAGGGTATCATCCATAAAATTAAGGGTACTTCTCCACTTTTGCTAGAATTTTATGTCTACTGTTTGAATAATGAAGAATATAACAATGCTAACACAGCCAAAAATGGACATGAGCCCTGCCATGTGCATTTGTGTGCGTATATCTACATAGATTTCCCATTATTATAGTTAAGCCTATTAACCTTGGTGCAGCCTGCCACATGTCAGCCTACATGATTACTAAGTATAAAAACTGGTAAAGAAGTTACCTTGGAGAAAGAAACTCTCTTTCTATAACACAGAAATTCTGCCAAAACAATAGATGGTGTAACAGCAATTTTAGCCATCTGATAAAATCCCACGCTGGAAAGAAATATAATAACTAGATTAAAGCATAAGCAAACAAATAAAGTACAGGCCAAAGAGCTAGAAACTTCTGATCTCACCTGTTGTACTTCAAGCTGACATTGGCAAGACCGGTAGACAGAGACATTACAAAGCCAAGAGTAAATAATGATAAACGAGTTGACTTTGAGGAAGGAGATGCCGGAAGGAGAGAAAAAGAATTTAAAATGGCCATCAAAAACCAGCTTACTATATAGTGAATGAAAGTGAGAAATACTGGAAACTGAAACCCTACATATTTAAGCACCTGAAGAAACAAGAGGAGATGGAGAAGGTTACAAGGTACACATGATGGTACTTCCAAAGATATTCAAGTTTAGGAATTGTTAGAATAGACAAGTGAAAAGATATGTAACGCACCCATTTGTTCATGAAGATAATACTGATGGCGACCACAAAATTGAATGTAAGAGCAACAGTAGGGCCACAAATACGCTGTTGTTGACGCTTTGCATTTTCAGATGAATGAAATTTGTCAAACAAAGAAGCCCGCAAGTCTTCTAGAGCCCTTCCTACATTCATTGAATAGCAACAAAACATAGTAACAAATAGAAGCATAACAGAAAATATAACTAACGGAAAATATTTATAAAGACAGAGAAACTAAAGAAAAAATGCAAGTATTATATTAAGTTAGATCTGCTCAGTTCAAAATCCTCCTCACACTCAGTTGATTTCCACACTCATTTAGGAGTCAGTAACAACCTTTCGCAGAAATATCCCCTAAATATTTTGGCTTCTAGAGTCAAGCTTTGAGAATTCTATTACAAAATAAGCAGGGAAAAATGGATCCTCTGGTAAACTTGAGATTATTCCAGCCTCAGCACTATCTAAAAATATGAATGCCTATTTTCTTAGGCTCAGGCATGGGATAAAACTATTGAAGTATATCTTAAAAACTGCAGCATCTAACACCAGATCTGGCAGACAAGTCAATCAGAGACCCAAATCAGAATTAAAAATCTCGTTAGTCAATACCCTTACCTTTTTCAAAGTCAATAGTTTAGGAAGCACTTGGAAGTACCTCTAAATAGCTGGGGGACCATCTGTATAATTTAACAATTCATCTGGTAATTTTTTCCTCCATTAGACCATTGTTTTGGTATGGATCAGGCATGGACATTGCATGCACGCACAAGTGTCTGTTTTTGAGGGTATTTGATGAAAGATAAAAGATAAAACAAACAGGAGAACTAGCTTATTGGCATGTCGGTGCTCAGACAGATAGATGATTTCCAAAAGAATTATGAAAGACAACTGTTCAGTGGTTGGAGCAAGTCCCATCTTCACAATAGAAAAAGCTATAGCATTAGTGACCAATTCACATCCCCGTGCCCATTACCAAGAGGGTGGAGGTTTAAGGGTTACAAGCCCCTCTTAGGGGCCAAAAAAAAGCTACAGAATTAGCCTTTCTAATCAGACACACCTCAGCTCACAAGCCCTTTTTGGTATCTTCTTCTAATTTCGACCATCTTTCCTAAACTAACTCAAGTCCCTCCTGTCTATGTATCAGTAACTCGTCTCATCCATAAGAGTCACTAGGTTAGAGATATTGGGATTCATGGCACCCAAATGCTTCAGCCAAAGGTTAGTGACCAATAGCCAAATGTTGCTGGTCACTTCAATTTTGCCGTCAATCTTAATTAAAACCCATTAGTTGGTCACATCTAAAGCTATCAAAAGGGGTTGTGGTGAGTAGTAGAGTGGGTAGGAAGGATAGAAACAATGGAAACAAACATTCTTTCGAGGAAATCTATTATCCTAAATCACCACATTATGGTCTTTATTTATAAGGTAAAAAAGAATTAGGTACCAAACATGCCCTTTAAAATGAAAATTATCAAGCAATAGAAATAGCACAAATAAGTGAGTAACCTTATCAAACACTTTCCTAAACAGATCACTCCTTTCACACAGTGTAATACGGAATCTCTCCCTCTTTGTAATATATCTAATGCAAGGAACTGCACTCACTTTATGATGTGACCACTTACCAACAACCAATAATGAAATTGTAAAAATTTATTACAACTTCAACAATGCGTTTAAAACAAATGCTTTTTTAGAGGAGGTTGAGATATCAAACTATAATAGGAAAGAGCTTTAAGGATGCTAAATGCCGAAATCATTCTATAGCAAAAATATGTAGAAACCTAATTGGCGCAAAAATGAAAACACATAAAAGCCAAAATTTCCTATTCAAAACTAAAGAAAGCTCAACTTGGCAGAATTCCTACCGGCATTCTATTATCAATTTTCCATCCCTCCATACTACAATTCTGCATTAGGAGACACTGCAATATTTTCTCCCATTACAAGATGCAATTTCCAGTTATCAATTAATTTTTTCTCAAGCTGCATTACAGCTTTACAGTTACAAGCAACAAAAACACACCTTTTTTCATCCCTAACTCCAAATATCCAAAAGCAACAAACCCAAAAGAAAAAAACAAATGGAACATTAAGAAAGCAGATTATAATCTAGTCTCCTAAAACTTATTCCCCCAAAAAAACCAGTAATGCCGAGCAAAAATTAGAGAAAAAAAAAAAGAAAAAAAGTTAAAAGCTTTTGGTGATATATTATATTCTTTATGAAACTACATTGTGAAATCAACCAAAATGGAGATAACCCATATGCCACAACAACAAAAAAACACTTAAAAAAATCCGAAGCATAATCAAACCAAATCAAATCAATTATTCCACGCATAGAAATCAAAACAAGAAAACTGCATCAAGTAATTGCAGAAATAACTAAAGTAGAAGAAGAACTTTAGTGGGTTTACGGTACCTCGCTCGCCGGCATCACTGTCTTTGCGCTTGAGTATCTTCCGAACATCTTTTCTAACCAGAAACTTGAATATATCCCGGCTAAACACCATTTCCGTCTTTGCTCCTCTGTAAACTAATTTTGTAGGGTTCTCAATGTGGGCTTTAACATTTCTGATTGCTGAATCGGAAAAACCAAGGAGAAGAGAGAGCAGTATGGTGCGCACCCACACTGGTCAACTGCTCACTTGTTCAAAATTTGAACTGCTAATGTCAAATCGAGGTCTGATTATTTATATAGAATCTTTGTAGGAAATTTTAAGCGAAATTTTTCATTTTTCAAAAAACGAAAAAATCATTAGTTATTTCAGCGAGAGTGACTGGACTTTACAGTTTAACTTATTTATATTTTAATTAAAATAAGACCAAAATTATAAAATTATGCAAATGAAAAAGAAAAATTGTTACTAAATTTAGCATTTTATTGAATTATATTTTTAATTATATCATTAAATTAAATATTTGTTGCTTTTTTAAAATCTAAACTAAGAATGTAAAATAAGTAAATTACATAGTTTATATTTTATTTGTAAAATTATATAAAAAATAAATTTTAAAAGATCTTTTACTATAATTTCCCACTACACCATCTAAATATTTTTTTAATAGAAAATTTAATACATCAATCAAAGGAGAAAAAGTAGTGACACGTGGCGCTGATAGCGGAAGAAGAAAGCGGTCGGGAGGAGAGAGAGAATCGGTGTCCACCGACCGACAGTGTTGAAGTACTGAGGAAGTCCGTGTCTTTAGTGCCGTGTTTGTGTGCCCCGTGAAATCTGCTTTTTATTTTTTATTTTTTATTTTCCTAATTTCACGTTTAATGGTTCTGAAAATATTAAATAAATTGGTGACGTGGATGTGGGCCCCACGAGAGTGATGCCTTAAGGGCAAACGTCGTCGTTTTTTATCTGTTTCCTTAAAAAAAATTTCTATAATAATTAATAAATTATTATAAATAAGTAAATAATATAAAATTATATGAAAATTCTTGTATTATTCATACATTGTCCTCATTCATAATTTGAAAAAAAAAAAAAAAAAAAGTGTGAAATTACACCAGAAAAACCCGTCTTATATATGAATTAATTAATTAATATTACCCTTAATCTAATGAGAATAGCTTAATCAATTATCTTGGCTTTTCTGATCAGCAGAAGCTGGAGTAGAAATGGATTTTGGCAAAGAAGTAGCTTTTGGAGAAGCTTTTCCCGAAGGGTGTTGCTTGAGCTTTTTGATATTAAGGAAAGTGTAGAAGGACATGCCAGCAATGGCTACAAAAGCTCCACAAATGCTGGTTCTTCCAGGGTCTGGGCCAAACAGGTAGTAATTTCCCAGTGGCAGAATACATGTCTTGAATTGCCCGAGTACGACATGGGAGATTGCTGATGTTGCCCTGAAAATTTCATACACAAACGCATACATAATATATATATATATATTGTAACGGCCCCGGAAATATTAAAAAGAAATGAGTATTTAAATATATCGAATGCGGAAGCGAGATCAAAATTTTAGTTAACATCCCTTACACGAAAAACCAAAAAACGTACTTAAAATATAAAAGATTAAACTAACTAAGAAAGAAACTCGAAAATAAAACTATGCGTATGACTACAGAGTCTCTAGGCATCCCCTTCGTTGTCCTCCTGCGGAACGGGCTCGGGAACCATGTCTTCCTGATCTGAAATGGTTAATTAAGGAGTGAGCTACACTAGCCCAGCAAGAACATCACGATATCTCACCGTCACGGAGATAAAGGTGGGTAGAAAATAAAAATGACCAATGGAGCAAAATTTACAACGAACTCGTTTATTAACATGAAAACCTTTACC